TATCTATCTATCTATCTATCTATCTATCTATCTATCTATCTATCTATCTATCTCATCTATCACCTTGCTATTTAGCTAGGTATTTAGCTATCTCTACCTACCTACCTACCTACCTACCTACTTACCTAACTACCTAGTTATCTCTCCACCCATCTTTCCATCCACCCACCCACCCATAAATCTCTCCCGAAACTGAAAAGAGTGGGGGGAAATTCATATAGTACTGAAGATGATAAAAGGAAGAAACTGAAATGAAATAGATCAGGATGGGTGTAGTAGTGAAGCAAAAATATACCAGGAAATGATTCCCTACACACATTCTTATGGCTAAGGCAAGTGGATGGTAGCGTGGAATTCTGCCAACTCCCTCTTTCTTGATTCCTTGTTATGTGGCCCAAAGCAGAACATCTACAGCTTATCTGCTGTGCTTCCCAGATAACACCCAGAGAGGGAAAACATAAACCTAGATATACCACACAGATGCAACCTGTTGTTTCCCAGCCCTTCAACAGCTACTGCTGGTAAAAAGTATTTGAAGGATTTCTAGAAACCATGTTCTATACCGTTTGACTAATTTTTTTTTTTAAAAAAATCCCAAATGGGAAGTGGCATGCCAAGCATCCAGAGGTGGTATTCAGCTGGTTTGGACCAGTTCAGGCAAACCGGTAGCTCTGACGATCAGTTGGCCCCACCCACCCTTCCTCGCTCTATCCTGTCCTTTATTTCCTGCTTTGTAGTTCATCTCAATCATGCGGCACAGCTGATTCCCCTCTTGCCTTGCTGTTCTTCTTACTGTTGCTGACTTGGAAGGTAAGCAGCTGAGCTTCCAAATGCTCCATTTTGAGCTCTGTGCCCAAGCGCCTTAGGTGTGTTCATGCGTGCTCACCGAACCAGTTGTTAAACCAGCAGTATCCCACCACTGCAAGCATCACTGTTATTTACAAAAATGCGGGTAAATCCATAGATATTTTGGGAAAATCAGAATAGTGTTTTGTTTGGAAACAAACACACTTTTTCAGAGTTAAGGGAAAAATCAGCTCTAGGTGCTATAGGTGCTATAGGTGTTAATCACCATCTTGGGCAGCCTAGAAGAAAAAAGTGGCCACCCAAGGTTTTTTTTCCCCCTGATAAGTAAGATTTTCTGCTTCAATGTATCCCTGAATGCAGCCATTTTATGATTAAAGAAGCCTCTCTTCTCAGGGCCCTATTTTGTGAAAATTCCCCAAAAATGAGCCCCTTGGCTAGAAATGATTGCCTATAGCTCTGCTTAATAGCCTATGAACACTAAATTGAATAAGCCTGCCAATGTAACTTTGGAGATTTATATATTTTGAAGACCTAAACATCTTAACTCTGACATCAAATTTGCATAGACTCCTAGACATGATTACAAGGGGTGAGGAGTCTATGTCTTTTAAACACAACACAAATGAATTCAATTAGTGGTTATTGTTGCATCTTTTTATATAGCCGTTGGGTTAAAATGCATACATTAACTTTGAAATGTATATTAAACAAGAGACAGAGAGTGAGAATAACATTAGGATTAAAATTCTGTACTCTTATTCGGGCAAAACACACGACATAGGGACAACAAAGAAAATCAAACTATTAAAAAAAACTTGCTCCATTTGCTGTTAATGAAAATAGTAAGTGTTGCGCAGTTGATCTTGGCTTTTTTCTCTTCTTTTGAATAGAAATTCTAAGTTGAAGACACTTCAAAACTTGAAGCAAATTTTTGTTGGAGTTATTGGTATTTTATATTTCTTGATCTGGCATGGTCAATTTATCCATTTTTTTTTCAACAAAAGCTGGACTATTACATTCTTTTTGCATATATCTATGGTATATATGTTTCTTTATTCACTCTATTCACATAGAAAGAATATTCAGTATTTATTACTGCTTAAATGTCTAATTTATTTAATTGTAGAACTAACTTAGAAAAATACAGTGATGCTTGGGTATGATTAAACTAAAGCAAGATTCAAAAACTGCAAAATGGATTATAAATTGAAAACACAATTTAAGCCAGTGAAGAGTACCACAATTATACCAGAAAAAATACGATGTTGATACTGGTATTGTGGATGTGCCAAGCCAATTGTTTTTCTATTGGGCTAAAGCTCTTGGGTTTATGATGAACTGACAGGATAGTTTTCTTCAGTGCATTTTCCTTTATTAATTGGGGATGGATGTAGAGGACAAAAAGTTAGATCACTTGGGTACTCAAACAGTCTGAACAGCTAAAAATCTGTTTTCTTATGCTGTTCCTTTCGAAAGAAATGTATCTACTTGTAAATAATTTTATGAACCTTTCACTATTTCAGGGAGAGAGATTCAGTGAGGTAGTTTGCACTTGTGAGGAAAGCTCTGAGAGCAAAGAAAAAGAGTTTATAAATCATACGTTTGGGCAAGCAGACCTGTTTTAGGAATACGGAGTATGAAATAGAAGGTTGGTATAATAAGTAAGTAAGTAAGTAAGTAAGTAAGTAAGTAAGTAAGTAAGTAAGTATAAGTAAGCAAGCAGAGATAAAAACCATATAGGAATTCATGCACAATACTGAACCAGTTGATAATACACTTTGCTTGTATTTAAACAGAAAAAAATATTACCGGTATTTGCATATTTATAGATCCAATAGAATTTGTCTTAAAATTTTAATTAGTGGATGACTTCAACCATATTTAACAAATAGTAGGTGTATTAATGAATATTACACACTGTGTCCTACAACCAGCAATTGTTTGCAGGCATTATTTATGATTTTGCTGGGATAATTATTGGCACTGTTTTTATAAATGATTCTGTAACACACTGCCAGAAGTGTGTTTTTCATCATTAATCACAAACAATAATGGGTGATACTGCTTCCTAGGAAACAAAAAAATGTGTTAAAAAGATGTGAAGAATGAGAAATGGTTAGATATCAGTGAATATTTGTAGCCAAACAAACAGCAGGAAGAATAGACTTCATCAAGGCTATGGTATAGTTCTAGGGAGGGAAAAAACCTTAAAAATTTAAATGAACTGCCAGAAAACAAAAATATATAGTATAGGGAAAAATACTAAGAAAAAAATAGTCTATGTTAAATTTATAATCTAAAAAGTAGACTTTAGACTAGTAGAATTCATATCCATGTGCTCTGCCTTTAAGGCAGGGGTGAAATCCAGCAGGTTCTGACAGGTACTGGAGAACCAGTAGCGGAAATTTTGAACAGTTCGGAGAACCTGTAGCGGAAATTTTGAGTAGTTTGGAGAACTGGCAAATACCACCTCTGGCTGGCCCCAGTGTGGGGTGGGAATGGAGATTTTGCAATATCCTTCCCCTGGAGTGGGGTGGGAATGGAAATTTTGCAGTATCCTTCCCCTGCCATGCCCCCCCCAAGCCACACACCCCAAGCCACACCCACAGAACCGGTAGTAAAAAGTTTTGGATTTCACCACTGCTTTAAGGAAATAGTTTGAAGGCTCAGCAGAAGATATCAATGATATGAATGAAATGCTTTCACCTTTACTTTTCAAAGAAATGTACAAAAGATTGTCAATAAAGCAGTTTTATTGCAGAAGACAGCTTACAAACTGTTTACATTTCAGCAAGCTGCTTACCAAATACATACAAATTGAATGTGTCAGAGAAAGTTGCATCCAATGATATGTGCAGTTTTTCTTCTACTTTACACAACTACAATGTGTAGATAATTTGATAAAATGAAACAACAAATGAATTCATGCATCACTGATAACAAGAAGATTTTTGTGGTACGCACAACTCCATCTTAGAATAAACACAAATAGAAAATAAGCTTTTGATAGTCACGAACTAGAAGCTGTGAGTCTCTACATAAAGTATCACAGTAATTGTACAAACTCTCACAGTTTTCTTCCAAAATGTGGTCTTACACCTCTTTGGAATGAAATGCACACTTTCATTCCTATAGGACACTTCAACCATGACTTCATTTGAGTACAATTTGCCATCGGTTCATAAACAAGCACCATGATACAAAAAACATGTTCCAGAGTAACCAGAACATTGTGTTTCTGAACTGAGAGCTCAGAATGATATAAAGCAGGCAACTGCCTTCAACAAGGATTTAAATAATTCTACTTTGCAAAAAGCCGAGGAACTCCAGACTTGATCGGCATCCAAATGAAGTTGCATCCCAGACATATCATCTCACTATTAAATTGGTTTCTTAAGGGGAAAATAAAGCATTTGCCACACCTCCTTCTCTTGCTTTTTACTGATGTACTTCTTAAGAAACAATACTTTAAAAATTCCACTTGGGTTGTTTCATTCCAAAAACCCCTCCCCCCATTATTGTGTTTCACCATACAGCCCTTTAAATTCTTAACTGGGTTGTGAGATGAACTTAGCCTACATATAAAAATATTAGAACTAGATCATATGTTAATTGAACAAGGTACTTGCTCCCAGCAACTTCAAGAAACGAAATTAGATGCAATTGTCAAATGTTCAGCTTTGATGCTCCAAGATAGCATGTCTACTTATTTCTTTTTTAGCCTGATTATTTTCATATATCAAGGCACTGACCTTACCAAATGTAGAATACACGGAATGATCTCCAGAAATGTTATCTTTCTAAAGTGTAACCTGTGTATGTTAGTAGACATATTAAATCAAAGCAATTCAACAATTTCATTATTTTTGCTTTAACACTGGATTTAAGACATCTCCAAGACCAATAAGGGCTACAAAATTCTATATTTGAGGAGGTTTTAAAGACATTAGTAGACATGGACTGGGTTCCTACATTGTACAAAGCCATGTAATTTCTTTAGATGTGGTGTAGTGTGTCTTATGAACCCATTTCATTATGATTTATTCCAGTCAAATGGATCACAACGTAACATACAATGTGAAGCTAAGTCAATCATCTTTCTCACTTTAAGAATGCAGTTGTTTTTAGTGGGTTTTAAAAAAAGAGAAAATGGCTATTATTGCATGCAAAATAATATTTAGATTTCTTCGCAGTGTTTAGATACGTGAACATTCAACGGAGCCAACCACGCATTGCCTGCTGCTATCAGAGATGTCTACAGAGACAGTGACTGGCCTCAAAGTGGTGGGTACAATTGAACAACAAAAGCTCCACTTCTTTTTAAAGTGCACCACATTTATCACATCTGTGTGAAAAGGGGTAGGGCTTTGACCATCCTGTCATTTTGAAACTAGTGGGTGTTATTATGGTTACTATAGATCTTGTCACTCATAAAAGGATAGCTTGATTCGAATCTCAATTTCTTCAGACCAACTCCAGTATTTTAACCACCACATGATATGTATTTTTATTTTATGGTAACTCTAATTAGGCTATGTTAATTGTGGGTTTTTCCATCATCAAAATGCAATAGTAAGTCTGGGGGTGGGGGGTGGGGAAGAGTGCTCTTAATGGGACAACTCCAGAAAAATTAGGTGAGGTGTGGAATTGTTTTGGTCACTGACAAAAAATTAAAATTTAAACATTGTGATTGCAAAGTGGATAATAAATGGGGCTGTAGAAAATAATTCAGAGGAACATCAACCACCCCATGCACTCATCCCTTCTATCTTAGATCAATAGCAGTTCTATTTCACACCAAATCCTGTTACAGGATGTCAAGAAAATGTGTATGCAAGAAACAAACATATATGGTTGAGGAAATGAAATCAGTTTCCTGTGTGCTGTATGTAAATCTGATTTATTTTATGGCTACATCAGGAAAGCTCACTCCTTTTTTGAACAAGGAAGTACCATTTAGAATTAAATAGGACCATTTAGGTGATTGAGCCCAACTCCCTGCTCAGTGCAGGAATGCAAACTTGAGTACTCCGGACTGATCTCTGTTTAACCTCTGCTTGAACATCTCTTTTAATTTATTTATAGTTCATATTTTTGAACTGCCCATCTTCCTCTGAGAGGGAGATATCCAATGTACTAAAGCTTACTTCTTCTCTGGGTAGTTGATTCCTTTGTCCAATTGCTCTTTCTATAAAGAAATCTTTTGTAACATTCAGTTAGAATCTGCCTTCCTATACCTTTAAATCCATGATTTCATATCATTTCCTCTGGAAAAAGAGAGATAGACCTTTTTCAATGGGATGCCCTTTCAGGCATTTTTAGAATCTATCAAATACCCCTTTCAGCTAACACTTTTCAAAACTGCCACCTTGTTTTTTTTCAATCATTCATCAAAAATCGGTTTTTTAAAAAATAATTTTTACACAAGGCTACATTTAGTGCAGCTCTCCAGGACTGTGGGGATTTCTCTCCACAGATTCAGCTATACCAGGGAGAATGAGGCAACCACCTTGGATGATGGCTCCTTAGATATTGTAGGAAGGCAGTACTAGCTTCAGCTTGTCGAATCTGCCCAGCTATACACTTTTGCTGAAAGACGAACTGAAGTCCATGCATTCAGTTCTGTTCCCCCTTAAATGCTTCTCAAATGTGATGAATGACTCAGTCCTATTCCAAATGTTGAAGGATCCAGTTGGATTCTGTATATGGAGTAGGGAGGGAGCACCATCTTGTACTTGATCTCAGTGAATACAATGTTGGGCTGAGTTTACTGCTGTCATTAAAGAAATATCTCATTCATTTCAGGGGAAAATTGATTCAGTAGAATGCACACCTGGACTCAAACATTGTTTTGACTAATGGGATTGAAACAGAGACGTTGAGGACATTTAAGGAGAAATGTCAGGAATGGTACAACTTATTTTTTCTGCCAAGGATCCCAGATGTTGGATTCACCTCATCCTGGCTGACCATTTCTTGACACAACAGTGTCTGGAAAACCATGAGATGATCATAATTCTGTAGTTTTTCAAGCATCATCATTTCAAAACAGACTCTCGGAATAAGTTTAAATGATGAAGTGATTAGCATCTGAAGAGTTTTTTTCCCCCCATACCATGGTCTTTAGCTGCTTTTCTCCCGGTGTAAATTGGCAAAAAACCCTTTCCTGGATTTCAATCCATTTCTCTTTTTGGCTACAGTGTTGACTAGGTATTTTGTCTGGACTATACTTCCCAATTGATTGATTCCCCAGCTTCTTTTCTTCTTCCAGAAATGTTGGGAAAGCAAAAACCAACTGCTTTCCATCCAGGGCATACCTTTTGAGAAATGGTGAAAAATATGTGACAAACAGTTTTATGATTCTTCCTATTACTTAGGCTGGAAGGAGAAGATGGAACAATTCTTATTAATTTCACAAAAGAATGCCCAATATCCCACCATTGGTCTTTTGATCATCATCTTCTTTTAATGACCCCATAATCCTTTGCAGGGTGGAGTCCATGCAACTGAATGGAGCAAGCAGAGTGTTTACTGGCCAGATGCCCTTCCTGTCACCAATGTGGAGTTTTGTTCACCAGATATATTCTTATTGTGTCCAGAGAGAGAAATATCTGCCTTTACCTAGGGTCAAACTCACAGCCTCCTGATTGGGATACAAGAGCTCCACCTCTAGGCCACCGCACCACTCCCACCATTGCTCTTTTGATCCTAACAGATAAACCCAGAGATGCAAAGATGAGGGAATGGGGATGTGCCCACCAGCCAGTTGGAATGAGGTCATTTGGGTAAGAGAGTGCAGCAAGAGGATAGATGTTGCTATTTGACCAGAACTGATGGGGAGATACTACTTTTGATGTGCAGCACACAAAGTCAGATAGTTGCTTTCCCAGCAGCATTGGGACAGGAGGAAAATGACGTCAACTGTTCTTAGTTTCTCCAAAGAGTAGGTGGCCTTTCATATTGGGCCAAGCAGAAGTGTGGATCAAGGCTGGGAAGTGTTTGGCTTCTATATTGTATAACCCACAGTTTCCAAAGAGGGATGATTATTCCCTTGGCATCCTTAGTTTTCAAGAGTGGTTTAGACATGCAAGAGCAAAGGAGTCATTCTCACATTGGCAACCATTATCCTTTCTGTAACAATATCTAGAATTCATCAGAACACTTGGTGCTCTCCAGATACTTGGCAATCCATCAAAGTGGATTGATGAGAATTAAAGGCCCAGGCCATTGAACCCCATTGCTGATCCCTGACCTAGAATGTTAAAATCTGAGAGAGGGGCATAAAGATATTCTACTTCTTACCTTGCACAAGAATGATAAAATGTTAAGAAGTCTTAAGAAGAAATGTTAGGGCCTGGTGGCTCAGCAGACTGATAGCATTGTGATTAACACCAGCTGTCTGCAATTACTGGCAATTACTGCAAGTTCGAATCTCACCAGGCTCAAGGTTGACTCAGCCTTCCATCCTTTCTAAGGTAGGTAAATTGAGGACCCAGTTTGTGGGGGCAATAAACTGACTTTGTATAAATATACAAAAGTATGAAGGCTATTGCTTAACGCATTGTAAGCCGCCCTGAGTCTCCGGAGAAGGGCGGCATATAAATCAATTTAAAAAAAAAAAAAGTAATCCGTACTGTTTCAGATTGCTGCCTCTTCTTCTAGTTTTTGACTGTTACAGCTTTCACTGATTTGTGAGTAAAAATCTAAAAATACTATAGAATTCTAAAAAAAAATATCACTAGCTTCTAAAAAAAAAGTGAGGGGGAGATTCCTTTTGGTAAAAGGTTAAGCAAGGGCTTAACTCATTTTCTTTAAAATTAATATGTCCTTAAAATTTTTAAATCCAAGAAATTAACTGAAGAATGCTATGATTTTGCAGATTAGATTGAATTTGCCTTTGTGTATCCAAAAAAGTGAAACAAGAAAGCTTTGTTTCCCAACTTGAGGACACTTGAAATCCACTATTTTAAAAAATAAATTGCTATATGCTTTAGATTTAATTATAAACTTAAAGACTGAATTAATTTGTGGTTATTACCTACAATTATTACATAGACCTCTTTTTCCCCTGATAAATAATTTTTCTCTTGCCACGTTGGTTTTCATCGCTTTTATTTCTTCATTATGTAATCACTATTTTTTTTTCTCCGTTGGTGAAGTTCCTTTTTATTTCACCATCAAAATTAAATTTAATAACTGTTTAAAAATCTTCTTACCATCATAGGAAAGTATATGTTTCAGATAAATTGAATGTTTAAGTGATCCCACTTCTTTGATCAGGAGATCTAACCTAATTTGGAAACATCTGGGCATGGCAATGTCTGGGTTGATCAGTCTAGACTAGCAATGTGTGTGGGCCAGATGCAGAATTTGGCTGCACTTTCTGCTGAAATGCGTGCGGCTGTTTTGCCATCAAAATGCTGAAGACTTAGTGTGTGTGACAGAGAGTGTGTCTGAGTCTATGTGCTCATTCCCTCTCTCTGTTCATTTATTTACACTGAATTAAAAATAACAAGAAGTCCATCAACACTACCAAATCTCCTGGATTTTGTTGTGGCAAAGATAGGTGAGAGAAGCTAGTTTTGTTCTTATTTCGTTACTCAACCGCACACACTTAGGAAACTTTTCAGAGGAAATGGCAGATGCTTAAGAAAATAAGCCATAAAATATTGAACTACTCCAGGCAGTGAAAACAGAGACGGTGATCATTTCAGCAGGATCAGCTGAAGCCAAATATTTTAAGCAATAGCATATCCACTGCTGTCTTCTGGGAAAAGGCTGTGCGTGAACTCGCTGCTTTAGGCCAGCTGCTTGGGATCTCTGCCAGACTGGACACTCAGAGCAGTAATGCTGCTGTTTTTCTTGAGAACTGAAAAGGCACATTAAAGCAAAGAAAACAGAGATGTTCTCTCTCTCTCTCTCTCTCTTTCCCTCTTATCATTTACCTAAAAATGCAGCATGTGTATGTTATCACCTTACCTTACAATAACAGAATAATAGAATTGGAAATCTTGGAGGTCTTCTAGTTCAACTCCTGCTCAGGCAAAAGACCCTATACCATTTGAGAAAAATAGCTGTCCAATTTCTTCTGAAAAACCTCCAGGGATGCAGCACTGGCAACTAATTGCCAACTGCTTCAATGCTGGAAAAAGGCATTTGTATACTTTCAGAGAAAAACAAAGAATCCAAGAATTCAGCAAAATTATCCTTTGGCCATGTTTTAGTGCAGGGACTGCCAATGCCATCACACAATCTGGTCTGTGTACTCCCTAACATTCCAGAAA